ATAAATATCATGATAGAAAAAACATCATGGTATTCAATAAATAAATATTGCAAGTAATGTTCAATTTATTTTAAAAGAGAAGTAGGAGAAATTTTATGAAAAGCCGCTGGTAGCTGTAAAAAGTACATGGTCGAGTAAAAAAAATGCATAAAGTTATTTTTCCTTTGCGTTAGTTCGATTTTTGTTTTAATATAATAACAAACTAGGGGCATATTTTTACAAAGATATATGACAGGTAAAAACATCATGATGTTCAATAAAATAAAGAAAAGTTATTATATACCATCATTTTCTTTATTGGGAAAGCAGAAATTTTAAATGTCAACTTAAAAAGTCGCTACACAATTTTCGACAAGATTCACATTAAACTGGTCAATAAAGCTTTGTGTTAAAGAAATAAGAGCAAAACAGACGTTGCGCACATCGTCGGAAGGCTGACCGAAATATTAAATATTGCATAAACCTTTTTCTGACTAATTCAAACCGATTTCGACGATTTCGAGATTTTGACGGCCTTGCACACCGGTTTCCATGGTGTCGCCATCTCTGAGGTCCCGGGTTCGATCCCTGGCCGGGTCAGTGTAGAAACTAACTTTTCTCGGGTTTGGACATACCGTCGTTATTTCAGATTTCCATAACACAAGTGCTTTAGCTATTTACTTTGGGATCAAAGCAACGTATGTGATTGTTGTCTAATATAAAAAAAAAAGATTTCATTTTAATAAATGTAGTAACTCCCAAATTCGCATTTGTGTCTAAGCTGAGGCTTGTCTGACTTAAATGTTAGGAAGCGGCGACCTAATGGACTTCACTCGCATATATTCCTCAACTACGTTTTGTTACAAATTGAAACAAGGAATAAATGAGTTTTAATTTTTATCCTTTAAGAGTCTACACAATCTCAATTGCCTTTGGTTGATTCTGCAAAACATTGAAAGTGTTGAATTCGAAGTCGAAGTCTTTGGAGTCGAAACCCTTGGCCCGTGGGTCGTGGGTCCTGGTGCCCTTCATCTGTACAAAATGTTATCCAAAAAATTAATACACTGTCTGAGAAACCCAAGGGCCGGCAGCTACCTTGCCCAACGCATTAGCTTAGCAATTCAAAGGGGGAACGCTGCCAGCGTCTTGAGTACTTTTATAGTAGTAATTTTATACATATAATTTTTAATCCTAGTTTTAATTTCTAGTATTTAAGCTTTTATTGTCTTTTTTACCTTACGTGTATATTATTAAAATAAAAATAATGTATACTTTGAAAAACCATATAGTCCAATTGATTTGAATACTATATGGCCTGAAAACACGATGGAAAAAACACAAACTTAACTCGAAATTTTACAAGAAAACCGCTGTATTCACTAGGTACTTTACATATACTAAGTACCAATGATTTTTCTTATATCAACTAAACTAAATAGAACAACAGTATACGATGCTCATTTTTGAAATGGCTGTAATATCGTTTGTAAAAAAATAAATTCCGAAATAAAGCCAGTGTCCCTGTCGCTCGACCCAAGCAAAATTAGCCGTATTACGTCGGGAAACGAGCTGAGGTAGTATCGACTCTTAAATTAGAAAATATACAAACGGACAGCTCGACGACAGTGCGCCGTGTTTTGTTTTTCCTTATTTATTTTGTCTCTAAAACATACTGTACGTAGCTACACTTAAAGTCAACTTTTTAATGTTCGCTATAGTAGAGCAGGGCCGTAACGGTGTACGTTAGCGACAACCTGATCATTTTAAGAGTTTGGTTTACTTTATTTACAGAAAAAATGCCGGACGTAAAACAACTGCACGGAGGTCTTTACTTCCTTGACTCTCTACCTCAAACTCCATCCGGCAAGGTTCACCGAGCCAAGTTGAAAGAAATGACAATCACCGCCACACGGATTATGCCAACCCAATAAATAAAAACAATTATGTAGATAAACGCATTAAAAATAGATGTATAAGTTTGACGACCTCAGTAGCGGTTAGCACTGTGGGCGCAAATGAAGAGGTCCCGGGTTCGATTCCCGGTATGACAAATTTGAGAAATGAACTGATCTTATAGTGACTCTGGTACTCATAGAACAGGGTATTCCCTGGCAATTGGTGTAGTCTGTCAACTGATTCTTATTAGAAACTCAATAACAATAAAAGTTGATCAACGACATTCGTAGATGATGATGTGACGTAGCCTCTGTCGACGACTCATTATATAAGTTCATACTCAAAGTTCCAGCAAAAAAATTGTAAATACTGTAGAGGCACGACTGCCGGTGCAAAATCGTTTGTTTGTCGATATTTTATCAAATACCGGAAAATTAGACATGGATTGAGATTATTACCCTTACATGCTACTTTAATATGTCGGTTGTACGTACGTGGTGCTTAAATCATCGTACGGATTAATGAGTAATTTTATTTTCCTATACGCCTGTTTATTGACAAATTACAAAATTATCCTTATTAGAATAAATGTATATGTCAATCTGGACCACATCAGATAATATTATTATGATTGCTCAATTTATATTGCTACCGCAATCTTTACGCGGACAATTACTCTTCCCACAGCCCGTGAACCTCCCGGATACATCTCGACAAACGAAGCTACGTACTACTTACTAATAACATATTAACCCTGTCAAGAAAGTTCCATAGATCGATCGATAATGTGCATACGACATCGTAGATAATTTAATTAGGTATCTATTTTTTATATTTTTATTTAGGGTTTGGTCAAATTGTTATTAGATTATGCTAAATAGGTTGAAAGTATTGTTATACATATTTTCAATAAAGTTTCTTTTTAAATACAAGTCTTCTTACTTATTCTTCTCGCATATAAAGTTTGTAAGAATTATTCATAAGGGGTCTAGTGTGTGTAAAACTGGATGAAGACGGGTCGGAACAATCACTTCGTAAGAGATTCTTCTCCGAAGACAGAGTTTTAAAATGTAAGTCCTGAAACAAATGAGGGGATATTCTTTCCTACCACATCATATTCTTCTTAAGTCTCACAGTAGATATGATAAGTACAAACCAGATACGAGCCAAAAAACAGAGTGCTCTTTGTCCGGGCGATTCCCACATGTTCTCGGGAATTCTCGCAGTTACCGTCGGCGACGTCTGACGAAACTGCGGGAAGCGGCGCGAAAGGAGGCGCAACACAGGTATCCTTACAAAATGTATAGAACTGGCCAAAATGTTTTCGTTTCTTTCATAAATCATAAACCCAAATATCTCTTTGTTTTTGTCCGTCTTCCTTTTCCTTTCTTCTTTTTCTGCTCCACAAATAAGAGAAATAAAATCAATATCCACCAACCTTGTTATGTAAAAGATTTGGTCTAAATAAATGAACACCTCTTGCAAGCGCACTTGCGAGAATTCTCGAACATTCCCGCTAATCGGCGTGTCTTCTCGCGAAATTGACGCTTCAACTCTATTCCGTTCCTCGAAAATGTAAATTGAGTCTAAGATAACAAGTGTTTTAACTGCCTCCGTGGCCGAACGGTTACCATGCCGGACTGCCACGCAAAGGTCCCAGCTTCGATTCCCGGGCCGGAAGAAATATTTGTATGACCTACATTTATTTCTCTCGTGAGTTTGGGTGTAATTTGTGGTTGTCTATGTGTGTGTCCATGGCACCCGCGACACAGGGTTTGCCTAGTGCGGGGCTATGTTGAGTGTGTGCGTTGTTATTGTTGTTGTTATAAGAGTGTATTCTAATATCTCTTCCCGCTGAAAATATATTTTTTGCCAATATAGAAGACACAAGACTAAGCTTGCTAAGATGACTATTTGTTTAATTAGAAACGTCCCCGTTACTACAGCTAGCGAAACCCAAATAGGTTAGCTGTTAGTAATGATTTTAACGCTGCATAAGCAATGCAAACTTCTGTGCAAGGTTGTACCATTATATTTGAGGATTTTTGTACTTTTGTACAACGTGCGAATCAAAACAGACTTTTAGACTTCAATGTTTTTTCCACCAAATTTTATATTTACTATAACAGAAATGTATAAACTATAGGGATCTGTGTGTTAAAACGCAATGGTATCGGTATTGGTTTGATTTTAACAGAACGACAAAATAAAAGGCGGCTCGTGTCACATCGACAGTGCTATACTGAAACTGGCGTCTTCACCATAAACTATTAACTCAAATAATGATTTAGTGTGACTTATATTTTTACCCTGTTGCCCCCTCCCATGCTAAATTAATTCGTCACGCGTCCTATTGATTTTGGTACCGGTAGTGTCCCAGAGCCACACGGTGTCTCCAACGTGCAACTGTATTTTCATCCATCATCACCAGCTTATACGCATCCACTGCTAGACATAACTCCTTCAAATCTCCGGAGCACGCCAACTCTCCCGGTCCTATGTATCCCGCATCCATCCTCTGCCTTTGACATGGTTGCCACTTTAGAACAAGTTAGCTCCATCGCCCATCAGCCCTCCTGCAGACATGTCCGGTCATTCGTCAAAGCAGACATGTAATTTTCATCCATCATTTAAAAAAAAAACATAAAAAAAATTACGAAAATCGTTAAGGACACCATGTTTCTCTACTCATGATAGGTTAAACATTGGTGGCGCATTCGCCACCAAACCAGCACTGCTACTGCACCTTTATGCCTTTTACAATGAAAATACTGGGAACCACATTCTACGTATTCTACCTTTAAGTAAAAGACGTAGAAAATTATATTTTACATCAAAAAGTGTCTTGAAGCATTTCTTTTTTTTTTTCATTTGAAGGCAAATTTCATCGGAATGATGCTTAGATATATTTGGCATACATTCTGTTCTGCTATTTAAAGATCAGCTCTTTTCCCAATTAATATATTGATTTCAGTCATAAAATGAATATTTATTTTCCTTCCACTCGTCTGATCGACTTGAAATTTGGTGTTTAATGGAAATATGATGATAACCTCGATCTGATGCTGCCAGGACAACTTGTAAACTGCCCAATTCCTCAACTACTTACTGTAGAACTATCATGCTTGAGCACTTTAAAGTTTTCTCGACGAGTTGTTAGCTTACAGATGGTGATTTCATAGATTTTATAGAAATTTTAATATAAACAGTATCCTTTTCTTCTTTTGACGAACTCGGTGCCCTACTGATTTGCATTGTAGGCGCTAGAAGTAGTAGGGCAAATTTGGGAAAATAATTTTTCTAAAATGTTTCCGGTTTGAATATGTTAGGAACTGCCTCAAATTGATTTCCGTTACTCTGGTACTCATAGTACAAGCAATTCCCTAGTATGAGATCAAGCAATTGGTGTCATTGTGCACACTATTATTAAAAATTAAGCTTGTTCCAAAGTGTTTATTTAATGCCATATAAAAGTGATTATAACAAAGGGAAGCTACGTGTTCATTTGTTTTGTTTAAACATTATAAAATGAATGTTTATATAGTACAAGAATTTTAAAGTGTAAGATTCTGGTGGCAGCCCTGCTCCTGAGCTAATCCGCATAATATATCTCTTAAGCCGCTACGTGTCAATACACGTACAATATATTACAATTAATAGATGACTGAAAATCCGGAAATCAATTCACATTAACGATCAATAATCGAGTGTCATAATCAATAATAATAATCAAACACCACAAAGATCTTAGTATAAGATCGGCGTGTATAGAAGTAACTAGAATTTTTAATATTGAATATATTTAATTACGTTCATAAAAATATCAGTCGATTCAAATGCTTACACAAATCTGATTACGAAAGATATTAACCGAATTATCGTTTTTGGCGCCAAGTCCATGGAAATATTTCAACAACATCATCGTTTTAAATTAAAATTTTGTGTAGTAACACTGATTTTTCCATTGTTTTAATTTTCCTTAATTGTTTGCCTCTGCAAATAATTATTTATACAGGGAGCCAGCATGTAACCCTTTAATGCATGTACATTAAAGGCTTAAATGCTAGGGTTACATTCAATTGATAACATAGAGTCCCCGCGATAAGTTGCTAAAGCTGGCACGTATCCACTTTGCATAGCTATACGTTGGATGATGTAGCTTCCAGTCTTTGAGTCTTCCAGGTAGTTCATTAAGTAGGTATACAGAAAGAACTGAAGTAGAAAATAAAAGTAGTTTTGTATTTTATTGAATATCATGATGTTTTTTTACTACCATCACATCACATTGTTTTTTGTGAAATCTACTAGTATGTATAATTATTAATACCTCACAAAGAAAAAAATCTTCATTCTAGTTTAGCGTACAGCTTTGACAGCTCGAGTGAGGTCAGATCGAAGGTATTTTTCTTTGTGTTCGGTTTTTGTGTTATTCATTACAATGAAAGAAGTATTAATTGCCTCAGTGGCCGAACGGTTACCATGCCGGACTGCCACACAGGGGTCCCAGGTTCGATTCCCGGGCCGGGAGAAATATTTGTATGGCCTATACTTATTTCTCTCGTGAGTTTGGGTGTAATTTGTGGTTGTCTATGTGTGTGTCCACGACAGCTGCGTCACAGGGTTTCCCTAATGCAGAGCTATGTTGAGCGTGTGTGCGTTACTAAAGAGGTAGTCCACGGACCTCATCCCTATATCTCCAATAGTATTTTATTGTTATTTTATTCATATGTTCTTTTATTTATCAAAAGAAATCGTAATTGCAATGAAACTTTCAAAGAACTTGAAGATATATTTTGAGCTTATCATGTGTCGACTTAGGGCCATCTTATTTAGGGCATTTATTCGACACGAATTTCATGGCGTTGCCGCCGCGAAATGACCGCGTGTATCTAATTGTCATGGCAAAGTACGCTCTATTTATTTAGCATTTACGTTTTAACTTAAATGAGCATCCCGGGCGCGTGGGCAAGATTGATTGATTTTGGTCTACGCGGCGACCGCGCGGTTGTATTATTCAGAGGAATTAAAATGTTGTTTGCTAGTAAATAAAATTCAGATTCGCAATTAATGTACGTGAAAGCGATTGCCGCGCGAAAACTTTCGCATCGTGTAACTGGGCGCAATGGCTTCAAAATCAACACGCATAACCAATGTAAATAATATATCAAAGACACTATATTCAGCCGACGAACGTTCTGTTTGAATTTAGCGCTAGAAAATCTGCAGAATTTGGGTTACATAAATTAGCAAGACTATTTTAGCACAGGAATCTCAAATACTCATATACGAACTATGTGGACATGGTGCTAGGAGAAAATAAACCATTTTACACATCGTTCCTTTGCCAAATATATAACAAATGAACTCTTTTGTTAAAACTTTGCTTTCAGGCAGTACAAAACTTTTCTTTTAGCTTTTCGTGCGAGTTATGCATTCAAAAATTAATAAGTTACATATTTCCGTCGCGATAAGTACCGGTACGTTGTGATGGCCGTTTAGACAGATTACAATTGTGAGGTCAAATCTCAATTCATTATCGAAAAAAATATAATCAAATGCGAGTCGCAACTATAAATTTTTAGATTTATAAGTACTAGTAGTAGTAGTTAAAAACTTTTAATAAAACGAAAATAAAAATGTTTACTTAATGTATCGTCAATTCGAAACTGCTTTGTTGCCGGAGGTAGAAGTTGTGCTAGCCAGTGATCCCACAAGTGACGATCGTATTATATTTCATATAAAAAAGTTTCGAAATTTAAAAAACAAACGCCGACTTATTGACAACAGTGTAAAGGAATTAGCTCCTTAAATAATAATCAATTAATACGAAACTTGATGAGCGGACAGACGTCAAAACGACATCATA